GGCCTGTGGTGCTTGGGCTCGGGGGCTTGCGGGCTTTAGGTTTAAGGGTGTTGCGGGTTTATGGTTTTAGGGTTCAGTGTTTGGGCATGGGGGCTTAAGGGCTTTAGGCTTTAGGGTGTTTCTTTTTTTGGGATTTTAGGGTTTTAGGGTTTAGTAGGTGTGTTATGCTGCTTTAGAGTTCAGTTCGGGCTTCGGGACTGTATATAGCAGGAGATAGCAGAAGCATGGTCTCGAAGCCGGCAACACCAACTCCAATGCATCATCCGTTCAAGCTTCGTGCCGCAAGCTTCAAACCCGGGGAAAGCGCCACAGCACAACAAACTGGAAAGCCTCAAAAGGGATCACTTCCTTTTTCGCGCAAACCTCTGCTAGCTGCCAGAGAGGGATCCAGGGGCGAATGGAGTGCTTGAGACTACTATGTAAGTGCAGGCGCATGGATGCTCAGTCTTTCGTTTAAAGCCTTTAGGGCCTGCTCAGGTACAACCACCCCCATGCCTGCACCAAGCAGGGCCACGAATGGCACATGGGCGTAAACCATCTTGGGCGCCTCGACGTGCTGAGCTTGTCCGAATTAGATTACAGATTTTTCGACTAGACATTACAGTAGAGGTGGGAGATTAGATTAGATGAGATTCTATGAGATCAGACAAGATTAGATCAGCATTAGGGTTTGTATTGGTATGAGATTAGATTCAGGTTTGATGAGAGTCGTCAGAAAGACAGAGACGTTGGGGCGGGGGTTGTAAGGATCATCGTTCCCACCAGGCTCCTCAAGACGATGCATCAAAAGGTTACGGTTGTCGAGCCTGCCAACGCTGACGAGAACAAGCCATTCTGTGCATTGGTACCTCCTTGTAATGGATAACTACTCGTTTGTTTGTTCTGGTGCCGTAAACTGTAACCGTAAACCCTAAACCTGAACCTGTACGACGAAGGAGGTAGCATGCACCCTTCGTCTGCCGGCCTCAGCGAGTGAACGGTCAGGAAGCGACTTTGCAGCGCTGTGAGTAAGCATCTGGATGTCGCAAGACTTCCGTATCATAAATGTGTTGTGTCATGCTATACTGTATTGCATTATATCATACTATACGATTTTGTAATATACTGTACTATATTTCGCCGTAGTTCCCCAACCCTGAGGACTTGACAATTGACTCCCTCCGAAGCTCTGCATCCAGGGCAGTTCTCTTCACATTGCTGCTGACACCACTCCTTATCAAGTCTGCACCCGCCCGAGTGGTTCTCACTTCGAGTGCCTTGGTCTTGATATCTTGGGCCTAGGATTTTGCATTACTTTGGGGCTTTAGAGTTTTGGGTGTATGGATTGTCCTCTTTGTTTGCATCAGTTTTATCTTGGTGGGCTTGGCTTCAGGGCTGAGGTCGTTTATTGTTTTGTCGAGTTCAGACCGTTGCCGAACAGAGCTTGCGATGCCTCCGCCTCTGTGATGCTGTTCCCATGGCACCGCAGAACCACAATCCCCTTTCCTGACACCCAGCCGAGAAGCCTAAATTCACCATGTGAGACCAATGCGTAGACCGGACCAACCCACGACTCCTGTACACGCATCGCAGCTGCAACTGCGAGCAAGGTCAAATCATCGTGAGCCCTGGTGTTAAAATGGCATGGAAGGCTAGCTCACTGGTAAGAGCCCCAACTTCCGAGAGACCCTTGTCCCGTGATAAGTCCTCGAACCTAAGTCTCTGAGCGTTCGCAGTCCTAAAACCCTTCAAAGCTCTAGACCCTAAACCCTAAATCCCGAACTCCGAGCCCCAAACAAAATTCCCAAATCTTCATCCCTGCGGCCTCAAACCCCAGCACCCTCAACTCACCAAGCCCCAAATTGAGCTCAACTCCCCTGAACCCCCGAACCTTTCAGCCGTAAAGCCCCAACCCCCTGAAGCCCTTTAGGGCTTAGGGTTTAGCACTCTAAACCCTAACACCCTAACACCCCCAAATTAACCCCCCTAAGAGCCCCCTCTAAGAGCCCCGGAGCAGAGGTGCCTTGCACTACTCCACCGGCGGCCGGGGGCGAAAGCTTGGCTACATCGACTGGGAGGAGGGGTTTAGGGCTTTGGGAGTTTAGGGTGTAAGGGTTTAGGGTTTCGGGGGTTTAGGGTGTAAGGGTTTAGGGGTTTAGGGAATAGGGTGTAAGGGTGCATGTCCTCCTACTGGTTGAGGGTTTAAGGTTCGTCCCTACAAGTTTGATGACACCCTGAACACTAAACCCCAAAACTCCTAAGCCCTACTCCGCAAAACTTCAGCATCCGGAACACCAGCAGACAAAGCCTGAAAACGTTGGAAGTCTCCAGGAAAAGCATTGGGCCCCGAAGGTCATATCCAACAGCAGTCATCAATGAAAAGTCGGCTCTTGTCTCTTGTTGCTTGGTTCAATTTGACACGTTTCGGGGCTGAAACCACTTCCCAGAGAGCCCAATACCCCTTAATTAAGGAATATAGCTTAAATCATAATATGAAGCCCTATATAATTTAAGCCATATTCCTTAATTAAGGGGCCCCTTGGGCTCTCTGGGTTGGGCTGCAGGATTGGAACTGGATCACGCGGAATTATGAGCGTGAGCTTGCCATGACCCAATCGATGCTTGCCAATGCGAGATGGCGGCATTTGCTCAGGGTTCCGGGTTTCGGTTCCTTTAAAGGGATCTATAAGGGTTACTATAAGGGTTCCTTCAAAGGGATCTATAGGAGACGGAGGTGACAGAGTTTTCGCTTTGTTGAAGCAAAACACATGTCAAAAGAGCCCACGACCTGCACCGAATCAGCAAGGCGGTCGTGGAGGCAATCCTTCTCGGACTGTAAATGCTTTTTTGTGGCTCCCCACTATACTCAGAGTACAATGTACCCAAAGAGCCTAGCCTAGTCATGAAGGCCCCCCATCTTATTAAATCCCTCCAAGGTTAGACCCGAAATCCAGAAAGGCTCTTTGAGCTGTGTTTCGTCGAGGTGATGTGGGCTACGGAGTATGCTGAGCGTTTTGGCCAGCAGGGCATCACCGCCGTGTCCGTGCACCCAGGCCGTCGGAGAGGGATCTTCCAACGAGAGACCAAGCCCAAACCCCAACTCTGAAACGAACGTCTAAACCTGTGTGGCTCTTGGGTCTTTGTTGGGTTCCTGTGAAAGACAGCGTGATCTCAAAGACATGCCTGTTCTACCTCCTAATTGCGCACTCTGCGGCATTAGTGTCTATGTATAGAAAGGAATATGGTTTATCACTGACCGCCTGCTGATACATACCATATAGGGTCTGTTTATCAACAAGCGCCGAATTCTCATCCAGAAAACTATTAACTTCCTTCACATTCTTCAACCTGAATACGAATAATGCCGATGTATTCAATCTTTTTATAGGTGCTAAAACATTGTATTTTTGGGTAGATAAATACAGGATGTAGCATTTTGACGACGCCGTGTAAAAGGACCGTGTAATACTCTACTAATTCTGACAAACTTAGGGTCGTCTGCCAAATCATCAATAATGGTTAAGATGCTGAATAAATCTTTACTCTTGTTCTTTTTCTGAATTCTATGCCTTTGTGCTGTGTGTCTATAATCTTTTGTAAAGCAGTTGGTTGATACTCGTCATAAAAGAATTTTCTTTATCCGTATCCACCTTCATTACATCTTTTATGTATTTCTTAACAGCGTTCCATGTATCATCATCATCAACGCTCGGACTAAATATGTATATTCTGTCGAAACTGCCTCTGTAGATTTTCAAAATGAGGTTCTGAATTAAATCAGTCTTTCCGCCAGTTCAAGAAGCAACTAAAGCGCTTCTCATCGGGAGTTTAGGCATCATCTCATATTTATACTTGTATTCAGGTATGTCAATAGGTTCAACGGTTGGAATGTTAGACATCATAAATAATAGATACATTTTTCACAGCCTTATTAATGATATGGATAATAATACAAGGTATGGTGAAATTCTTGAAGTAATTCATGAACTAGAAAAGGTGGAAGAAGCTGTGATGCCTACACAATACAGGAGATGTTGCTCTAGTATGGTAGAGTTATTAATGAAAGCAGTTATTCAGCATTTTAAATTGAAATCTAATTAATTCAAATGGGTGATAAGAATGAAAAAGAGGGTGGATTTTCATTAACACGTACCAGTCTTGATTGTCTCCCATGTAGATGTAGAAGCGTTTATATCATAAAGAAACAAAGCATACCAAAGATGAAAAGAAAGAAAATATAACTATTGTTGAAGACAGGGTCATCCTTTTCAATGGGAAAACGAAGGGGATTACTCCGTCAGGTGAAATCTTCAAAAAGTACAAACGACAACACACAATTAGGGGATATATCTATATGCGATACAGGTTTTGGACGAACAGGAAAACAAATTACACCAGAAGCGACAGAAGAGCAGTTAGAAAAAATAAGAGAAGATATGAGAGAGGTTAAACAAGACATTAGCACTTTAAAAACTAATCTAAATATGACGGATCGATACTTAAGAATAAAAGTGTATTTAATGATGACAGGGCGAGTATGCCGTTTTGGAAGAGGGACCCCTGACGCCTTTCGATTCACATTGATGGATAACTCGTTTATCCATTAATCTTTTGTTTGTCTTGGAAAAATAAAACGTTGAATGGTCTCATTGGAAGGGGAAAGTAAACGATGGAACATTCAATAGCATCTCATAAGCAGGTGCTTAATAAAATTAATTTCGTTAAGGCATTGAGGATTTGAATTTTAAAATAATTGTTATAAAATCAAGTAAGTATATGGTTACATATGTAGATAAAATCATTGTATCAGTTTATGTTCATGATAAATGCCATTGCGAATGTATTTTAGATGACATACGGTATTGTCCGAGTTGTAAGCTATTTCGAAATCATCAATACTTCAAGAGTAGGAACAAAAACATAGAACACAACAAATTATGTAGGGTATGTTTAGGCAGTATGAACAGATACAAAAGAGCATATGGTAAAATGTAGTCTTTAACTACATATGTAGACGCATTTTGGACTAACACTGTTAAACAAGTTTTAATCTAAAACTTTTGTATAGCATTAGCGATGTAGATAATGAGGTTAAAGAAACGAAAGCAACACGATTTCAAAATATATTGGATAAGTTAGAACTAATTGAAAAGGCAGTTAATTAGCTTAACGAAGAGAAGCCTAAACCAGTTTAAAAAACAATGGATAAAGATCGTGATATTTATAAGAATAAAAGGAGTGTATATGTTAAGAAACTCAACAACAAAGATAACAAGTTTACAAAGAAGGAGACATTAGATTAAATTTGTCGACCAAGAGAGAGCATATTAAAGGTTGTATCATACAAAATCCATAATTGACAAAACACATTTACAGGATTGAGAACTTTTATATTAGTGGCAGAAGCATCGGGACATAAACACCAACAGGAAATAATTAACATCAACAATGACCTGAACCTAATAAAGTATGAAGTTATGAGCACAGTGGCCGACAGCATACCATATATTGAAAACTGTATGATGACGACTTATGTAAGGAATGGAAAACTCATTGTAGAAATTATAGACGGGAGAACAGTAGATATTATGAGAAGAGAAAAGCAAAAAGATGAAGGTAACATATAATACTTATTCTTCACAGTAGTTATTATTCTATGCCATGTCATTCAGGGGACGCTTGACTGACAGGGTTATACTCGTTTGGTTTTTCTAGTAGGGTCTTACCCCACACCTCATATTAGGATATTGGTTATTTTTTGGATAAGGTTATGGATTTGGGTAGTTGCTTTGGTTTTGGGTTGTGTTATGGATAATCGTATTTGTTGTTGGGTTGCTGTGTTTTCGGGATTATTGCTTTTGTGTTGGGAGGTGCTTTGTGTTTTGTGGGATGAGAATTGAGGTAAAATTATAGGGGGGAGTATAGGATGTGAGGTGTGGGGAAAGGAGGTTGTTCTGATTTTGTTTTGTGTTTTGGTGTTTCGAAGGGTTGAGGTGTGGCAGAATCAGAAGGAGGTTGTTTTGATTTTGTATGTGTATTGGGATTTGGTGTTGTGTTGGTAGGTGCTTTGTGTTTTGGGTTGTGCTATTTGTTTTGTTGGTGCTTCGTGCTTTGGTGTTTTGAAGGGTTGAGGTGGGAGGCGGGTTGAGAATTGAGGTGAAAGTGTAGGGGGGAGTATAGGACGCGAGGTGTGGGGTTAGCCTAGGCTTGCTGCTAAACCCCAAACCCCAAACCCTAAACGGCAATCTCGAAACCCTGAACCCCGGTCTTCTTGCGAGGCTGCGTGTCTACTGGGGCTCAACGTCACATGCTGGGCGAAGGATGCTACGTCCCTTCGCTGCTTTCAGGGTTTGGCGGTTCTGGGTTTAGGGAGCTGGGGTTTAAACTAGGATGCCCAGTAGTGCCCTGATTCCCTTTTTGTAGTCCTAGGTTCCTTATAAAGTTACCCAATACCAAAAAGGGAGCCCTTTTTATTCCTAGGTTACTGGCCATCCTAGTTAAGTTTAATGTTGAGGGTTGAAGGTTGAAGGCTTTGGAGCCTTCGCCGGCTTCTGAACTTTCCCTCAGCCCTGAACGGCATACCTTAGAAGGGGCCCCCACCCTGTAATGGTGACTATAAGGATTATATTAGGGCCCTATTATATTCCTGTTATACCACTATTACAGTGTGGGGGTCCCTTCAAAGGCATAGCCTGATACCCTGAAGCTTCAGTTTCGAAGGTTTTAGCGCCATCGCCCCATGCGGCCCTTCGGGTGGAAGGTGTAAAGTGCATGGTTGAAAATCTGGAAACAGTAGCCCCTCAAAATGTAGTCCCTATATTCCTATATTCCTATATATATATATATATATATATATAAATATAAACGTTGTACAACATCCACCCAAATTCAAAGCAATGTTCTGATCATCACGGCCCTATCATACTAGTGCGTTCTGTCTTCCCTCTACAGCCCTTGCAGGCTGAGGGGGCGAGCCCCTAAACCCGAAACCCTGAAGCCCTAAACCCTTAAGCACTATAAGCCCTAACGAGCCACCCTGGAGAGGCGAGTTGCTTCAAGTGCTTCTTGAAGTGGGGCATCCGAATGATTGATGTTTGGCCGGGATCCCAATCGACTCTCTACGCCCTGCTCTCCGACGACGTGCCTTTGGTGGCATCTCTTCCAGGGTTCTTTAGGGTATCTACAGTAACCCTAAACCATAGTCCCCGAAGCCTACACCGCTTTTTTTTAATGCTTCCCAGGCTTTAGGTGGGGAACTCTCGGCCCCCTCAGCAGTCCCAACGATGTCAGTTGCCAGTTGCTGAGATATGAGGCGATGCAGTCATGCGGGATCACCGTGCGTTGTTGCTCACCTGGGTAGTTGTCAAAATCAAGGTCCCCTTGTGGGGTACCCTAAATATTGGGTCCCGTACTATATTAGGGACCCAAAAAGGGACCATAATTTTGACAACTACCCACCTGTCTTGCAGCTCCAGTTCGGCATGCCGGGGGCAGACCTGGGCCAATGCTGACAAGCTTCCCAGAAAGTCGAAGAGCTCTGCTGAAAGCAGGAGCCAACCGTAATTTCGGTGTGTTTACGATGTCTTTTTCTGGTGGGTTCTGTGGGCTAACGTGAAAGTAGAGTCCCGAGAGCTTGTGATGTTGGCAGAAATCCGAAATCACAACACGTGGCGCCCGTACCCGACGTAGATGTCCCAGTCCGCCTAGAGAGCCCCGTGCAGTGAGGTGCCAAATCATAACGGGGGGCACTTCGCCCAGGCCTTCTTCGGGTCAGAGCTTGAAGCCTAAACTGAAGGTCTAGGACTCTAAACGCTCGCCCACAGGCCTCAAAGCTTGACACCATACTGTAGACCTGTAAACCTAAAGTGGGTCTGGGGAGCTGTTGGGTTGGGATTGCATGGAATTCTTTCCGCCCACGTCAGATCTAGCATCTACAAGCGTATAGGATGAGACTTGAGGTCTGCTCCTGCTGGTTATTTTCTGGGAAATTTTCGAGGATTCTTCAACTGGTCCAGGTGCCTTTTTCAGTAGTTGTGTAATCAAAGCGGATCCAGCTGCATCAACCTCCAAGTTTTGTGTGCGAAGGAACTCATCTTTGTTTGCAATCCGGGTCCCTGGAGGCCTCTACGAGCCCATATGCAACACAGATCGCTCGGTGTAGAACCTCCTGAGCGTGCCCTCGTGCCGAGACAACTCCCGCTCTGGGTTTCAAATCGCCATTTTCAGTGTCGCCATGTCGGCCCTTCTGGGCAGCATTGACCGCACCCTCCAAGAACGCGATCTCCTGCCATCTCTTCCTCAGCCCCCTTCGCGGCATCCCTGGGCTCAGGATGCCACCGACATCGGCATCGCCAGCCCCTGCTGGGCGATGACTTCGTACAGCCTTCCACGGCCTCTACCCAAGCTGACCCAGTCGCCTTTGTCCAGGACACGACCCAGGTTCTCACCGAGCGGGCCACATCAATGGGGATGACCCTGTCTTTCGGTGAGCAAAAAACAGCAGCCATTTTGCCGCCTTGGGTCACCCGTCATGCCTCGGTGTGTATTCCTACCAATTCCGATGGCCAGCCATAAAAAAAACTGCCTGCTGGGTGTCGAGCATCAGTTGCTGCTAGTTCAAGCCTACAAGCATCCAGGAGGCATCTCAGTCGCTACGGGGTCCCCCGTCCCGGACCTCCACCGCCACGCTCGGGCTGCCGCTGTTGTCAAGCCCCTGGAGCGTCGCTTGTTCGGCTGTCGGCAAATCCCCCTCCCTACTCGGCGGCTTCTGCTTCAGTCCTTGGCTCTTTCCAAGTTTGTGCATACAGCTGCAGCGGTGGTTTTCGCCAGCGGCCTTCCATCGGCGTTTGTGGGCCCAGCACTTTGTTAGCCTTTGGCGCTCGCTGTTTCAGCGTGTTCAGCGTGACCGTCAGGCTCACGCGTACCAGGTCCTCCATGCCGCGTGTGCACCAGCCCCGCTACTTGCTCTTGCCAAAACTCGGGCGCAATTCCTCCGCAAGCCTACTGAGGCGGGGCCTGTTGGGCAGACTCCTCTTTGATCACTGGGCTCTCCACCCCGCCAGCTCATGGCTCGGACAGGTTGAAGAGGACACCCGTCAGGTATTCCTCTACCTCCCCGACCTTGAAGGCATTTTTGCGGGTCGGAATCCCGTGAGTGTAGTGCTGGACTCGCTGCTTGAGGACAGCGGATGGTGGGTCAAGCAAGTGCACAAAGCCACGCGAGTCTTCCAATCGGATGTGGCATCGTGGGTTGAATACACTAGTGCGGTGGCTGGGCGCACCGACGCGAGCACAGCGCAGGGCCCTGTCGCCGAATTGCCTTTCGCCTGCCATCTGTGTGACTCCCGGTTTGCGCTTCCGAAACACCTGGGAGTGCATCTTGCGCGCCGGCATCAAGTGTTGGCGCCCACCCGACACTTTGCCCCCGCCCCTGCGTGCCACTGCGAGTATGGCCGTATCTCGCGCGTGCAAATGCACCTTGAAGGATCAGACGCCTGCTTCAGACGCTTTGTTCGCTTGATTCGCCTATATGACTGTTCCGGAAATCCAAGAAGCCAAGCAATCGGAGAAGTCTCAAGCGCGTAGGCAGGGGGCAGGACACTGGAAAACCTTTGCAGCTCCCTGCTTGGCGTCAGTGGCACAAGGTCCGCGCCTCCCAACATGGCCCGTGCGTCGACCGAGCCACGCGTTCCCTGAAGACCAAGTTCTGCTTTCGCAACTGCCCCACATACGTCCCAACGCCAGAAGTCCTAGACTGGGTCGAAAGCCATATCGCAGGCCGTATCTATAAGTAATTGCCAGAATTTTGGGATGGGCTGCTTCCCCGAAGCGGCACGAACAATCCACAAGAAAGAAAGAAAGTACACTATTTTGGGGGTTCCTTATTGTACAATTATAGTATAATGGGCCCCAAAACCCTATTCTTAACGCCCTTATATTAGTATGCATTCCAGCCTTCTCCTCAACCGCCACATGTGTTGACACCGGAACCCGAAGATGGCAGGCATATTCTCCGGTACTCCCGTTTGGCGAGCCGGTCTACGAAACCAAGGATCAAGATTCAGGTGCGGAAAGAGAGTACTTGGAGGTTCATGGGTAGTTAGAAGTAGGGTTACAAGTCCCCAAATATGACTTATAAGCATAGTCACCCTACTTATAAGCCTACCTATAACTAACTACCCATGAACCTCCAAGTAGACAGACCTTTTCCTATAGGGATCGAAAGCAAAGTTCGGGGGGAGACCGGACTTCGCAGCGAGCTTAGGGCCTATTTGCCCGGGCACTGAATTTAAGGTGTAGCCGTTTAGTACTTAGGCCGGTTTTAGGGTTGCAGGGATGAGTGCCCGGGGAGTTTCACGGTTTGGGACGTTTTGGACTTTCCAGCCCTCTGCCGCTGCCCGAAGCCTCCTCGGATTTTGCCCTCAAGCCTTAAACCTGTGCGCCGCGTTTGGGGTTTAGGTTTTAGGGTTGACCTTAACACTCCTAGGCGAATTAGGCTTCCAGGGGTCGGTTTGTACCTTGACTGACGAGGAACGATGTAGGATGACCTTTCCCTTGAGATGGTGAAGAAATTGGCGTCTAAAGTCTAAAGCCCCAAAGCTATAACCCTCAAACCCCAAGCCCTATCGGCCCAATTAATTAGGAGGATGTGTCGGAAAAAGGAGCCCTTGATAAGAACGCACTTCAGGCTTTAACATTAAGCCCTAAAGCCCCACATGGCCTTAGAACCTCCGGAAATTGGGGCTTAAAGCCCTAAACCCCGTAAAATGGCCCTAGAACTTGAATAGACCCTCATCCTACAACCCATGAGCCCGAAATGAACATGCTAGTGTTGCGGGTTCTTTAGGGTGTAGCTGCCCCAATTCCGAGGTCCGACACATGTCACTTCAACTAGTGCTCCAGTAGCTTTTTCGAGGAGCCCCCTACCTGTACAAACAGAAGCATGCTTCAGACACCTCTTCAGGAACTCTTGCAGGAACCCTATCAAGCCCCAAGCCCTGAACGTGAAACCCCTAGACCCGTAACCCTCTCAAAACCTAAGCCCCTAAACCCTAAACCCTATCAAACCCTGAACCCTGATCAAACCCTGAACCCTGAACCCTGATCAAACCCTAAACCCTGAACTCTGATCAAACCCTAAACCCTGAACCCTATCAAACCCTAAACCCCTAAACCCTAAACCCTATCAAACCCTAAATCCTGAACCCTAAACCCTGATACCCTTTTTTTAAAAAAAAAAAACGAACCCTGATCACTGAACAGCTTTCTGAAGGTGGCTGGCCGATGGCAGAGCCTCTGCCCTTCGCTCGCGCTTCTTGGACCTCGGAAGGTTTCAGTCGAACTTAGGGGGTTGGGGCTTAGTTTAGGGTTTTAGGTTTAGGGTTTAGGGTTTATAAGGTACTTAGGGCCTTAGGGTAATCAGAAGAGGGCTCGGGGGTATAACATGGCATGGTTGTATTGGGGACCTCGGAAGGCTTCGAACCTAACCCAGGGTTGTGAAGTTAGGCTTTAGGGTTTTCAATGCGACCCTGAGTTTTCAAGACGGTTTGGGGTTTCGGGGGAACCCAGAGAGCCCAATACCCCTTAATTAAGGAAGTATGGCTTAAATTATATATGGCTTCATATTATGATTTAAGAAGCTATATTCCTTAATTAAGGGGTATTGGGCTCTCTGGGAAACTGCAGTCCTCCCCAGGAGTCTTGAGAAACGAAAGGCTGCGTCTGCTGCCCTGACGCGTCCAACCGCCTACGGGCCGAATGATGGCGCTTGCAAAGATCTGCTTATTCAGTCGATCAATACAACGCAAGAGTACACTCATGGTCTGTTAATGGCCCGCACAGAGGAGAGCTCGCCAAACTAGAGTACCTTGTCGAAATTCCGTGAGCCTGGATCTTCCTACCCCACCCTACCCTAACCTACTATTTAGGTAACCGGAGGTCTCGGGAGACTCATCTCCCAAACATCTGGCCGCCCGACTCCAAGGCCCAAGCCCTAATCCCGAAACGCAGCGCACCACTCATCCTGTCCTGGGGTTTTGGATTCAAGTCGCCATTTTTATCGTCAACACAAGTACTCTCCCTCTCTCCCTCCCTCCCTCTCTCTCACTCTCTCCCTCTCTCTCTCTCTCTCTCTCTCTCTCTCTCTCTCTCTCTCTCTCTCTCTCTCTCTCTCTCTCTCTCTCTACATGTGCACATGAGGTTATTATACATGTTTGTTCATGTTTCCAAGTGTATTGATTGGAAGTGCATGCAGCGTAAAGTATACAGTATACATGCACAGACACACATACACAAATATTTTCTGCATATGTACACACGGCTACACATATATACATATGCATAGATCTCTAGGTACATGTGTATTCCTACATATATTATTCAGATATGAATAAACAAGTGGTTAAGACAAATGCATGGGTGTATACAGAACGGAAGTTTGCCGCACCGAGGATCCAGTGAACCGTGCGAGGCTTTGGAAGCTCTCCGAGGATGCCGTGCGCTTCTTTCTTGACCGTGCGTGAAGTTTTTCCTTGCCAATGATGTCTTTCCTTGCCCTTACAGGGTCTGGAACGGATTACCAGAAATCCTCGAAAGCACATGTGAATGAGAATCTAGTTACCCTGGATCTGCATAGGATTTTGTTAGTAACGTTTTTCGAGACCCCTGTGGCCAGGGAGTAATGAGCATCGAGCAGCAAAGCCTCCACCCAAGTCCTCCATCCGAGTGCTGTCCCAGATTTCTGGGTGGTTGCATCCGTGTCCTAGATTCGACATGTACGTATGGCCTGCAGCGTGAGACCTCGAACGAGCCCTCTGAATGCAAGCGAGGAGAGCAAAAAGAGTGCGAGAGCAAGGTGGCAAAAGCGCACCACATGCCCTAAACCCGATAATTACACCCTAGACCCTGAGCATCAAGCCCTGTGGAGATACACCCTAGACCCTGAGCCTCAAGCCCTGTCAGGATTCTGATGAAGCCAAGCTTAAAACAACACCTTACACCACAAAACAAAAGCAGCCTTTGAACCTGCAAGGGCATGCTTGACCACCGCCTGCACCTGAAGGACAGAACTCTGAAGGGGCCAAGTAGTTCCAACATATACAAGACTGAGGTTAAGGATAGTAGTTGTTGTGGATTAGTACTCCGATTCGGGACCTAGGTTCAGGGTAGTCGAAGGCAAATTTGAGCACCCCTATTCGCCCGAAGCCTCGAACAGCAAATCCTCAAAGCTGGACTTGAACATAGAGCCGAACAGACGGTGGCAGGCGAGAATCGGAGTTTGGGGGTTCAGGGTTTCAGGGTTCAAGGATTAGGGTTTAAGGCTTAGGGTCCCGACTAAGCGAAATACAATCAATCAAACTAGCACAATCTGAGGAAACATGTTTCCGGCGCCCTTGCTGAGACCCTCACTAAACCGTAGGCCGTTGCCAGTCGGGCAGTTGGTCGGTGAGAGGACGTGTGAGCATACTTGGAGGATCATGGCACTTAGTAAGTAAGGTTATAAGTACCTTAATTGGGGCTATAAGTCGTTATAAGTATAGTTACCCTAATTATAACCCTAGTTACTAAGTCCCATGATCCTTTAAGTAGCGAGCCGACTCTGCATGACTGAGCCATCATGAACGGGGATCCATGGTTTGAACTTACCCTAAGGGTCTAAGTACCAAATAATCATATACTCTCCCAAACAGTAACCTACATAACTACTATCCGAAACCTAACTTTGGACCCTTAGGGTTAGAGGCTTCGCGGATGTAGGGCCTTTGGCACTGTGAACCCTGAAGCCCAGCCTTGAATACAAAGCGCACAACCTTTTTGCACCGAAGCTGCAAACAGCCGCTGGAACCTAGAGTAGGCCTTTGTTCCTTTTTTTAGAGTTCCGGTTCCCTTCTAAGCCCCTTTAAGCCAAAAAGGGTACCGTTTGTATGCCTAGGTTCCTCCCAGGTCTAGGCTGTTCGCAGCTAAGCACCAGCTGTGCATCGATTCGACGTTCTCGAGCCGCTCAGCCTTAAGCTTTCGGAGCACCCGAGCAGGCTCAATCCCCCCCACCGTGCGCTGAACCTCACACTCGAAAGAACCCTAAACCCTTAATCCCTCCTTCCCCAACTTCCCCAAGACCCCAGCTGCAAACCCCAGCCCTAGACTTTAAACCTTGAGAACACTAAACCGAAATACCCCAAACCCGCAACTCAACCCGAAACAGCTTTGGTTTGTGCACTGCCGAGGTTTAGCTGGCCCGATCTGCAGGAGTGGTCCTTTCCGGCACCTTCCGCGATGCCACTGGGCTCAGGGGTTTTAGAGGGTTTCTATATGGGTCTGAAACGGGACCGATGAGGTTTAGGGTGTAGGATTTAGGGTTTAGTTTATAGGGTTTAGAAATTGGATTCGGGGTTTTGGGTTTATGGTTTGATGAGGCCGTTCTTTGTTTCAACTAATTGTGGTTGTGATTATGCACAGCCATTTACTCTTCCTGTGTGAAGGTTCCTCCCGGATTCACCAGCGATATTCGATTCGCCATAGTTGGACTATAGGAACTAGTGTGTGCATTAGGCGGTCGTCTTTGTCGTCGGCATCGCAGCAGCAGTAGTTTCGTGAGTAGTGGGTAGCATCTTTTGTGGTGGCAATAGCAATGGCAGTAGCAGTACGGGCAGCTGCAACAACAACAACAACGGCAACAACGGCAACAATAACGGCTCCACCCGCAACACAATAAGAGCACCGACAAGACAAGAGCGCGCCACGACAACACCAAGCAGCAGCCAGAATCTCCTTGAAAGGCTGGGCTGTTGTTTATAAGGGATTCAGTTTAAGTTACCATAATAAGGAAAACACATATTTTTTTTTACTGCAGATCCCGATTATAGTAACTTTAACTGAAACCTTAAACCCTCAACCCTTATAGGAATCCTTATAGACCCCCTAAAGGAACCCTTATAGATCCCTATTATCATGGTAACTTAAATGAGTGCAGTTGAAAGGTTCTTATCCCCAATATAGGGGCCTGAATTATGGGGGTGTACACTACTCCAATTTTTCCCTCATGAGCTCCCGAAATAGTATAATCTCCTTGAGAGGTTCAGCTCCATGACCTCCGCCTCCTCCTGGCTCGCAGCCTCCACACCACCAGAGACCCGACAGCAATGGGGTTTAGGGGTTTAGGGTTCAGGGGTTTAGGGTTTCAGGATTCAGTATGTTCCAGGTTAGGGTCTTTGTGGAGACTAGGGCTTAGGGAGGTTCCGCTTCGGGAGTCGGCCCCTTGGGCAGGTAATAAGTGGGTTCTCGTTAAGGAATTTAGTTCACGTTACCACATAGGGATCTTTGCTAGACATCATTCTGGTTTCCTTATTCAATTCTGGAAGCTTAAAGTAAGTTCCCTAACAACAGTCCAGGCTAAGATATACTTCAGGTTTGGTGCCGAGGGCCTAGACTGTTCGGCAGGGTGCCGAGTGCACGAGCAAACGCACGCCGGCTTTCGGGCTCTTCGTAGCCTACTTTTCCCAGTTATGTAATTCACCCGTGTTCAGAACATAGAGCATACCAACAGACTTGATTGGCAAGGGCAGAGCGACAGCCAGCCGCAGCCCGGATATAATTAACACGAAAGGAAATTGTATTTTGTGGAAGATGTAGCTAGTCACCTGCACCTACTGTCGTTCATTGGCTCAAGAAAATATGCGTCTGCATTCTGGCTGTTCTGCCTGTAAACATAGGTTATCAGCCGTAGGTCTCACTTCGTTTGTAGATCGCGATGGATGCTCCCGTAAATCCTGCAGGTATTCCCGCGATAGACATTTCCGCGGCTCGCGTCGATACCGAGGATCTCAGTTCTCTTCCTGCCATGTCCGTCCAAGACGATGGCACGGATCCGGCTGTCCCCGGTACCCGAGAGGGTGGCCAAGTTGTTCCTCTGACGGCAGAGGCCTCGGCCGTGATGGCCCAACCAGATCCCCGAAGAGGTGCACCAGGAGCGGTGTCAGAATGGGCATATGTCTCAAGCCCAGCGCACCAACTCGCATCCCTGGCGGGATCGCCTCAACAATATAATGCGGCCCAATATTCACCCAGCGAGATCAGAAACGTCGCGAACTACTATCAACAAAATGTCCTTGCGCCAACGGTGCAACAAGCAGTCCATGTGCATCAGGTAGACAAAGGACCAGCCGTTGCAGCTGAAGCTGAAGCACGCCACAGATTGATCATGGCCGAAGCAAACAATTTGCATAGGGAGCAATTCAACCAGCTTCATGCACAGGCGCTATCCGGTGCTGCCCAACTTCGGTTGGAGTTTGCCCAAGCGGAGAGTCGTCTGCAACAGAAAGAAGAACTGCTTCGAGCAGCCGGCGAAAGCATGGCTAATAAGCACAGCGACGAGTTGTCGCAGATGCGACGTGAAGCCGTTGACTACAAGCTCAGGCTTCATCAGGCTGAGGTTACGGTCTCCGACGTTGTAGCCCAAGCTGAAAGAGAGCTGGCTAATCGAAGTCGGGCTAGCCAAGACACCGTTGCAGTCATGAATGGCGAACTAAGCCAACTCAAGTCTGAGATGGGTGCATTCATGCAAGTGCATCGCCAACAGGCTGAATCGATGACGAAGCTTGAGCGCACCAATGCCGAGCTTCGTGATCGCCTGGCGAAAGCCACGGCATATTCATCAACTGCCGTAGGAGATCAGTCTCCCATTGAACACCCTATTCATACCCCTCCGGGTCTGGGTAAAGTAGATGGTGGCCCGCCAGGTGGAGGTGGAGATGACTCGCCTCCCGAAAGCGACGGCGACGGGGATGAGCCCGATGACGATTCCCGTGACAAGAAGAAGAAAAAGAAAAAGGACAAAAAGAAGAAAAAGAAAAGAGACTCATCTGATTCATCATCATCGTCATCTATCTCCCTATCTAAAAGGGACCTCCTGAAGATGTTCAAGAAAGTCGTTAAGTCGAAGAAAGACAAGGATGATGTCGAGGAAACCGAGGCGACAAGGGGAAGGCCCAAGGTGAAGGAAGCTGAGAAGATTGTGTTTCCAAAGTTTCCCCAGCCAGAGAACTATCGTAACTGGAGGCTTCGCGCACGCGAGGCTGTGGTCGCCGCCTCTGACCGTCCCGATGAGGCTTTCGAGTGGCTCGGTGAAGTGTGGAAGGATGATACCACGGAAGAGTCCCTTCGTGATCCTAACGGTTTCACAACGCTTGATGCGAAGATCCTCTCGGCAATCACAAACATTCTGGAAGGTGATTTTGCTCGCCAGATTGACACTTTTAAAGAGAGGGAAGGACACGAAGGACGCTTAGTTCGTGGCCGACAGATTCTACATAAGCTCAACGCTTATTTGTCGACCAACGCACTCCACGGGTCTGTGTACGATATGGAGGACCTGCTCAACGTCGTCATGCTTAACGAAAATCTTGTGCAATTCGTGCGTAACTGGGATACTGTCCTCTCAGGCATGAAGAAAGCACCTGCTGACGATGTTTTGCAACCCTTGTTTCATAGACAGGTTAAGAAGTGCAAGCTTTTGGCGCACGACATA